AATTACTAGAAGATAAAGTAACATAAATAAGGATCTATGTTGAATTACCTCATTATTATTAATAATTACTATTATTTTTTTTTATACTTAAGAGTAACATTTTTTTTTATCTATTAATATAAAATTTGTATTCTGTATTTCTGAAGGTTCATGAAATAAATGCCAAATTTCAAAATAAAAATTGATTTAACTTAATCTATAAACAATAAACACATGATTTACAACTACACTAAGGTATAATTAAATAAAAGCTTTTAGTTAAAGAAATACATCAAATCATTAAGAACCATCATTGTTTATCCAGTAAGATTATTTATTCTTACTGGAACAATTTTATGAATGCTTTTTTAAGTCTGGCCCTGTGAAAATTGTTTAATATTTAAACTTTACATTGGTTAGTTTTTGTTATGGTCCTTTTTTCATCAGTCCATAACCAGGGGTGCTAAGCCCTAACTATTATTTTAGCCCCCTGTCATAATTCCTATACTCCCAACTAACGATAGCTACATTTATAAAATTTTAATGAGAAAAATTGTTGTATTTTTTATGAACATCTGAGAAAATTATATATTATTTTTACATATCTATTATACCTACAGATTATCATTATATGTAATGACTAATGACCCTGTGTATTATGTATCCATGTATTACGTAGTGTAGTTTTTATTGCATACTTTCATCGAAGTTGTCAATGAAGTAAAAAAGTAAAAAAAATACATTTATTTTCTGAATATTAAATTAAAATTAAGGAACACTTTATCTTTACTTTTTTTTAATATGAAACATCTAGTTCGGTGGGTGAAGGTGAAACTGTTTGTCGGGGTGGCAATGCGCATTAATGTTGTGATATGCTTAAAACATCCAATACGCCTTTAAAATAAAGACAAATGAAAAACAAAATTTCAATGTTTCATATCTGCCAGGTGTCTGCCTCCGTTTTTATTTTTAATATCTGTGTTTGTAGGTAATTTTTATCTATAAGAAAAAAATTAATTCCTTATGAAACTGTTAATATCTATTAACTTATTTCAAAATTATTAAAATGTATTTTTTTTATCTTCAGTATTTATTTAAAAAACATTAAATATACACTAAACAATGAAAGATTCAATTGGAATCGTAAAAAAGGCCCTTAAAAAAATATGCTTTAAATTGTTGTTATAAAAAAATGCTGTGCTTTCTCCATATCATATGATCAACCAGCATAATATATATATTAAATGCATATAAATCTGCTCCCTACTTATAGTTATAAATTAAATTAGTGAATTGTTATTGTTTTTATAAAGAGGGAAATATTTATACAATTTTTTTCACTGGGTTAAAAATTTTTTATTAAACACTTGTTATCCCTTACTCATTCAATATCTTAATTATTTTTGATAGCGTTTGTTCTTGGTTTAGTGAAAGTCACTTATGATAAAATTATGTTTGTCCAATGTTATTAACGTGAAATTAAATTTCTTTCTATAGATCTTATACTAATTCTATTAAGTATAAGTTTTATATTTCTTGCAGTGTTTACTTCTACTTTGTTCACAAAAAAATTGAAAATAACCAATTTATTTGATTCTTTTAAAATGAATTAATAATTATTAATATTATTAGCAACAAATGTTTATTTTTGTCAGTACTAATAATTATTACTTTCTTATCCACTAGCCTTAATAAGAATATTGAAAAAACTCCTAGAGTTTTTCTTTAAATTAATCAGAAAAATGTGCCAATATTATTTCTGATAACTGCATCGTACTCAATAATCCACACGCATCTATATTTTTGCATTTAACATTGCTCAATCACTTAGTATTAAATTAACAAGACTTAAGAAATAACACCGGAATTTGTTGTCTTCATATTACAGCAGATCGCGTATAGCTTTGTTGTTTAAAAATTGAAGTGAATCTGACGTATAATGAAACTTGATGGTACGAATATTATCTGTGTTTATTTTGTATGATGGTTTTCTACGATAATTCAGTTTATTAGCAAGTTACTCATATATAATATAGAAAAAAACTAAAAAAAAACTATTTTAAAATTAATACCACTCATCTACCCAGCCTAAATGTACAAGATTATCCTACTAGTAGTACAAGTCTTGTTATTTATGTGATTTTAACACACAATAAGTAAACTTGTGATGAGTTTACATCAGTTTTTTTTATAAAAATATTTAATGTAACATTACTGTATATATATTTTTATTGTGCATTTGTATTGGTTAACTACAGGTTATTATCGCCTAAATAAAATTATTAGTTATTAAACGTTTTATGTTATGTATTTATTATCACTAAATAACACAAAAAAAAATTTAAAGACAATGAATATTTATTGTTTGTATATGCCTAATTGTTGTTCACATAATTAGTAACACAAAACTTTGGACAAGAAATTGTGTAACACATAAGTAATACATTTGTAAAGAACACTAGTTTTTATTAATATTTATAAAAGTTTCAGCAATTATATGTTGCCAGGGAATCGATTTTCTTCGATTTGAGTGTTCCATTTATCAATCCATGCATTTGGGCATATAGACTTGGACACACGTTTGTAGTACTGGCATGCATCAAACTCCTCACCTCTTATTTTTTTGCAACGTTGATAATCCAAAAAGCTTTGATAACAGTACCTAAGACATAAAAACATTAATTATAGTCAGTATGTTTATCTGTGCACATCATTGCAAACATCAAATATTTCTAAATTATAACTATGTTGTTAATTTTCTCATTTCGTTCCTAATTTCAATTATTCCTAGTTTTGACTTTTTATGATAATCATTTTTTTCAGTCTAGGTCATTATCTTTATCCAGTATTCAAATTTAAACTGTGCTGTTTTTATTTCTTAGAATCAATTTTCTTATATAACTTTAAATATAACAAGCAAGTGATTTTAAAACACACGTTCTTCTTGATATTTTACCCATCACTATTAAATGTACACAGTGGCATACAAAGGATTTTTCAATTAAGAGCCCCTTCTAAATTGTAACAAATGCCCAATGAAATGTAACGTAAAATACTTATAAATTGCAAATAATAAGGCTGTAGAGATGGCAGAATATTGGAGACACAAAATTTAAGAATACAATATCATACGTTATTTCTTGTATTACTCATTGTTATTACCATTACCTATTTACTTAGTTCATTATTTTATATACCTCTTTTAGTATTTTACCTATTGACTTTTTGACTTTTTGACTAATTGATATTATGTTGTATTATCTATAGTTTATAATATAATGATGTGTATACATTTAATTACCAGTAAAATGACCTGTCACCTCTACTCAAAAAATAAAAAAAATTGAGGTTTTTTTATGATTACGAATTCTCAAAACTTTGAATTTAATCATAATAAGAAATACAATAATATTATACATCGATATATATTATATTAAATAAATCATCGGGGCTTAAAATATGAAGTTATCAGTCTTTGTTTTTTTTTGTTTGAAATAATTTTCCGATTCAATAAATATTAAATGTTAAACAATCTACGATATTGTTTATCTTCATATTATTAGATCCAAAAATTTCATTAATACGTTTGTCCATATCTTTCATAATATGATATAAATTGTCCAAATATAATTATTCGTCAACATGGAGACATGGTAATCGAGATTCTATTGTATAATACGTAAAGAAACAATAAGCTTTAGAATATCCTAATAAAACTTCATACAAAAGAAGTTAATATTAGATTTAAAAAAAAAGTGGTATGTGAATGATTTGTCACATAAATACCTATTGATCAATTTGAAAATATAAAAATAATACAATAAAAAAATTTAATTATAAGTTAATTCAGTGTTTAGAATATCATTTAAAACATTACTTGGTTTGATTGGTATTTGGGAAACGAGGATCCCATGGTGCAGTTTCAAGTTTGACTCCGTCTACTTCAAGAACCATTTTGTTTGGATATGCTAAAAAATAAAAAAATTTTTATAATAATTTTTTTTTTATTTTTAAGGTAAATTTTTAGGTTTGAATAATGTATTTTTTATTTAATTTAGGAATAAAACAATTAAGCAAATTGTAACACATAATACCAAACAAATGTATAATAAAGTATTTTCTAAAAAAAGTAAGAGTTGAATTGTGTAATAATTTTGGCAAAAATCAGATACTTAAATACAAACTAGGCATAAAAAAATATAAGTGTTACTAAATTATAATATACCTAACTCTTGTTTTTAATCAATATTTAAGACAACATTTTTTAATTTCTTGATTTTACTTATCACTTTAGAATTATTTAATATTTTTAATATTTTAAGATAAAATGTAATTATATTTTTTTTCACCCAACAATTAATTCTTGATTGATTATTTAATTAAATTAAAAAAAGCATGACTCTAAGTCTTCTTAAAAATTACAACATAATGAAGTAATTATCACATCCTAAGAAAAATAACAATAAAAACTATTATTTTCACCTGTATACACACAAAGTCAAAGGTACCATTTGCATTACTAATAGAACTCCGTTATTTAATTTTTTTTATTTAAATAAAATTAAAAACTTTAATTAATTAGGTACATTATTTTAAGTATATAGTGAACAAATAGCACATTACTGATTTTGGATACAGCTATATATCATAGAAAGGTTTTACAGTATGTATGATGCTGAAAACATACTACGATTAGATGTATTAACCATTTATTGTACAACTAGCAATGGATATATTATAGCAATTTTACATAAAAACTAGAGTTCACTATAATTCATCCAAAAACAATGTTTATTAGAGGATTTTTATTATAAGCGTAAAATATAATACCAACATAGTTTGTTACATATCTAAAATATAAATTATTAGTAAGTATACTTAAATATAAAATAAAAATTTAGGACAACCATAAAAACATAAAATGCATATACATGTTTTTAAACAAAATTAATATACATTTAATAGTTTAAAAAAAACTTAGTTTAATCATTATGTTATAGATATACTTAGATAATTTTATAACTTATTTAAAAAAAAGTAACAATCAAAGCAATTTTGTTAAATACTTATTTATGATTGAACATAGACACATTACTATTTTGTATTTTATTGCAAAAGTGTTGTATTTATTTACAAATATTATTTATATAGCAGGATTTTGTAATCAATTATTTTACAAGAGGTCTAGTTTTATTATCCTGTTCTCCCACTGTTTCCTGGTAACGTTTAACTTCATCTAAATACAATGACCAAGCATCTGTAGGTTTAGATTGTTTTTTCTCATCGTCAGGCTTAACCTTTTTAACAACACCTGTTTTCAAAGCTTTATTTTTACGTTTGCCAATTATTGGCAACGTTTTAAGAGTTTCAGATCGTTTTTCAGAGACAACTGCTGAAGCAGTATTAGTAGTAGTGGTAGCAGCAGTAGCAGCAGCAGCAGCCGATGAAGTTTGAGATACTTGTACTTCAAGTATTGGTAGTTCTGCAATCCTGGCTTTCTGCTGCTGTTGTTGTTGTTGTTCAAAACGTTGATATACTTCTAGGAATGAGCCATCATTTTTAAATGCATTTTGGGCATGTTGATTGTTATAGCTTGCCATGATCGCAAACACGCTTTGTAATCAGCTTTTTCACTCAACACCTATAATCAAGAAACTCTCGCACATCACATTACGGTTCCAAAATCTTAAATTTTACTACAGCCAAAGGGTGGCCAAAATCCCCAGTAACAAAAAATATTAACGAATTCAGCTTAAAGTTAACAAATAAGTATATACACAAGGTAACAATTTTATATTTACATACTTAATAACTACATCAATAATTAGGACAGAACACCAATTGGTGTTTACCGTGATAGTTAATAATTTTTCTTATCTATGGTCGGTTTGACACAATAAAGCATTCACTTTAAAACCATGAATATAACATAAATAATATTACATCACATTTACATTAAAAAGTACCTAAAATAAACCAAATTCATCTCAAACTGTGTTGACCTCTGAAGGTCTTCTTAACTTTCAACCTTAAGACATATTTAAGAGCTATAGGAATATTGTTGGTTATAAATAATAATAATTGGGTGAGACTTGAATAATGCAGATTTGAAAGGATTATTTTAGTCACGGTTTACTCACAGTAAATTACTTACTAACGATTAAGAAATAAATACCTTTTTAGGTGTATAGAATACATCTAATACAAACCAAACGTACATAAAACAATACGTTTGTAATTTATAAAATCTATAATGTTATTGAGACAAAATATAAAATCAATTACCTGAAGAGTAGAATTACTAATTGTCTTAAGTATTTTTAGATGAACTCGGCGTTCTTGTTATTTTCAAGAGTATATGAAAATAATGTTCTCGATTTATGAACACACGAACACAGTCCAAGAACGAAATTGAGAAAAAAAAAATGATAGTGTAATAAAAAAGAAAAAATCAATCTGCTGAGCTCAGAAACAATATGGTTAACTGGAGGAGAAAATTTAAACAGTGCTACCAAAATAACAACTCTCAAAATGAATAAAACAAATAATAAAATGTTTTTTTTACTACGATAAGAAAAAAAACAGTTTTAAACATGAATGTCAGTGGATTGTTCCATAGAAAATAGAAATCAAGTAGTCTCTATACTTAAATGTTTTGGATCTGGAAAGTCGACTCTTAGAAGATAAGGTTGGAATACTTAACAATCAATTTAAAAACGCTAATAATTCAGTTACTTAGAGAGATTTTAGTTGAGTTTTTTGCCTCTATTTTATTAAGCACCTCAAACAGAACTTTATTAAGATTCTGTAAAAAATTAAAAATATTTTAGTGGCAAACGAATATTAAATATCAAAATAAATAATAATTGTTGTAATTGAAATCTAAAATATCATAAATATACTATATACATATAAGAATATAGACACAGATTAAATTTAATCTGTGATATAGACATACATAATATATGGAAATAGGAATTATATTAATATCACTGTTAACAATTCTTAAATTTAGAATTTTGTTTTTGCAAATTTATTTGTTAGTTGTTAATATAACATACTATTATAATTGTTGTACTGTTTTAAAAATCGTTTTTTCAACCTAAATATACCCAGCTTATTATTTTTTTTTTGGTTGCCATAAAAATTCAAAATTATCTGTGTTTGGTTATCCCAAAATTGTTGTACTCAAAGCCCAATGGAAATCTTATCTTGGGATAGAACTTAAAAATAAATTTGTTATTTGTGAAAAAACATTTTAACATCAGAGTTGAACATTAGAACCGGTAGTGGTAAACTGAGTCCGGAAAACTTTAACGTGCTAGCTAAATTGAGTCTCGATATTTTTCGAAAAAATGATTTATAAATAACAACGTGCCCTGTGCGAGGGCAACCATCCAGCGAACTACTAGGGATGCCGTATCTACAAGGACCTCCAACGCTTCCGCAAGCCAAATTCGTACAATCATGCCATTCAAAACAACGTCACTAAAGGTCGTAACAATATAAATAATAGTGATTGTAAATTCTTCCAACAGCAAACACCTGATATAAACCATCCCCCTCGTACCTATGCCCACGCAGCATCAGGCCACATTCCCAATACAGAATCCAATGATAACTCACTGACAAATTTTCTAAGTGAATTCAAAGCTTTAATTAATCCGCTGTTATCTCTCCTCACCACTGTCCTCGATCGTCTTCTCTCTCAAAATGTTAAATAACACTTTCACCTCCCACTCCCTAGCCATCCGACTTTGGAATGCCAATGACCTTGCCAAACACAGAAATAAAGTAATTACATCATTAAACGAAAAAAGAATAGATATAGCACTAATTTCGGAAACACATTTTACGTCCAACTCAAAATGCTCTTTCCCTGGCTACAGTACCTTTTCCACATGTCATCCTGGCAATACCGCTCACGGTGGGGCCGCCATCATTATCAGACCATCACTACAATTTACAGCTGCACCCTCAGTTTATAATGACTTTCTACAAGCAGCGATAGTTAATATTAACTTAAACCATTTGCCAATCACCGTTGCAGCAGCATACTGTCTCCCCAACCATAAAATTACGCCACAACAATTTAATGCTTTTTTCAACTCGCTTGGCCACTATTTTATTGTAGGTAGCGATCTAAACGCCAAAAATTAAACTCAACAAATCCAAAAGGACGCTCCTTATTCCAATCAGTTACCTACAACCATCTGATTATCCTTAATCCCCCAAATTCGACCTACTGGCCGACTTCTACTAGTAAACGTCCGGACATACTCGATATTTACAAAATGCAAACGTTTCAATCAATATCACTTCGAATAATTACTAACGCTCCTTTCTACATTACAAACCAAACTCTACATTCAGATCTCAAACTACCAACTGTGGCCGACGTGGCCACATCCTCCTATAAGCGCTACCGCTCTCTCCTTACCAACTATCCCAATCCGCTTATTCTCGCCCTCAACTCCAAAAACATTCCCGGAAATCCACAGAGAAGATAAAAGAGGCACTGGTGTCGTGATTTGATTAGCTAGCACTGTTTAATATAATAATAAAAAAAAAAACTGCCAACATAAGTGTATGTATATAATGTAAAATAGCCAAACAAATATCACGTCGAGTGTTACTGCTGGGTAGCTACTCCTCTCAGGATTTCATCGTCAACTGTATTTTTTTTCAGCTCATATGCTTATAGTAACTATCATGCAGATTGTATATTTTCTAATAAATATTAAAAAAAAAATAATAAATAAATAACAACGATAACTCAAAAATAAAAAGTCTCTACATTCAATGAGTACTGTATTGTGACTATAGTCACCAATTAGTGATTATCGATTACCGATTTGCCGATAGGGTTTGGAAAGACCTTATGAGCAATAAAATCATCTCATTATATTATCCGTTTATCGATTATCAAAAAAAGGTATCGTCAAATAATACGTCAATTATAATACCGACTATGACAACTAGTCACCGGTTGTAATTCAAGTGTTAAACTTCAAAATTACAGTTCTTAAAATTATTTATTACAAGAAACAGTGTGGTTTAAAACAATGAATTTAATGACAAGTGCAAGAAACAAGACAATTTTTATAGTTGACGGACAACGGAAAATGTGCTTTTTGGAAACTAATTCGGGGCTCAGTTCACCTATACCCTTTTCAGACCCGGGACTCAGTTTACCACAAAAATGGTACTTCGGGCTCAATTTACCTAACACCATTAACAAGCAGGGCCGAACTGGGCAGGAGGGATACCAGGAGTTTTCAGCTGGTGCGCTTGTTTGAATTGGGTTACTTGTACTCGTAGGGACGTTTTTTTTAGGTTTATCGGTTAAGGGCTCGTGGTATGGTGCATAGGAGCACGTGGATCAGCCAAAAAAATAATATCAGTATTAGCTCAAACTAAATGATGGTCTAAATATAATGCTTTAAAAAAAATCTTCGGTACTCTTAACGACCCCAATGAAAAAAATTCAATATTTTTTACTCTTTTAAATTTTAATTGCATTGTATAAAATGTCGCAATCAGATGCATTCAACTCTAAAATAAAATACAACGCTAATGTGTATCTTAAAATTTTTGTTCATATCCCTACAGTTTCTAAATGTTTACAAACTCAGAATATGGATGTTCTTCAAGAATATCGTATGGTGGAAACTACTTTAGAAAGTTTAAAGCAATTTTCAAGAAGTTTCCTTTTAGTTGTTGAAGCAGCAAAAAAAAATTTAATTGGCCTAATAATTATTTCGAGCTTGAAAATATTGAAATAACTGTTCAAGATAATTTTCTGGAAAATAAAATTCGTAGAAAAAAAATGAATGGATGGAGATGCTAGTGAAGAATACATACCACCTAATGCTTAACAAAAGTTTGCTGTCGCCTGTCGATGTCGATGTGTATAATGGTACATTTGATACATTAATCAATAGTATGGAAATAAGATATTTAAGTAATTGTAAATTTCCTGACGATTGTTCTTTTTTACAAACTAGCAGATTTAATGAAAAATTCCTGAAGAAGCATTTACACAATTAAATGAGCATTTAGAAAGTCGTGACGAGAGTATAACAAGAGCTATATCGTTCGCATATCAACAACTTTATATCCGAACTGACCGAACTACAAGACATTTTGTATGAAAATATTTGTTTTTTTAGGGTTGTTTTTATAGGTAAGTGTGTCAATTTTTTTTATTTTCCCAGTAGGCATTTTTGACCTAGTCCGGCCTTGATGATCACAATGTATCTAATAATTTTACTAATTTATTCATTACGGGAACCTATTTGGTATGTAGGGTTGGGGCTCGAGAACCAATTAGCCAATCTTATTAAATACAGACACATTTTACGGAGGGTCGTCACAACCCCTTGATCTTAAACAGTCAGTGTCGGACCACTAAAAAGTTAATACCTTGGGGTGTTCATATACGTATAGAAGAGGATTTGTACCTCTGTTACCCAAGTGGACTCCGATCCCTGGGGCAGTTCATATCGACTGGCCACTAAGAAGTTTGAAGAAAAGGATGGAAGTCAAGGACCGAGATTCACAAGTGACGGACTTTATCTTCCCCGAGGGCAGTAGCCTCTTGCCTGACTGGAACACTACACGTTCGACGATAGTTTTCAATTTGATTGGTTCGACTCCATGTCACATTTGAATAATTATTCATTTTTTTAAACTTAATTGTTTTTAGTTTTTTGAGATCAAACATCCGCATAGATTGCAGTCACCAGTCTCTTGTACCATTAAAACATATTTTTATAGTTAAATTATTTTTCCTACTTTTTCCAGCTTTCAAGTGACCAATGCAATTAATAGTTATTCGGTTATTGGATTTTAAATCAGAATAAATTTCTTGTTTCTACTTTCTATAACCTACAATATAATTTTTTTTTAATTTTTGTAATTTTCTCCGCTGTGTCAATATATACATATTTTGTATTTATACAGTAATACTGTGTATTATATTTATATGTTTATGAATGCATCATTTTACAAGTTATACATTTATGACTAAGTTATTAATTTAATGATTCATGATATTGAATATATTTTTAAAAATAAGCAAAAACATGAATAATTCCTATTATATATTACTATATTAGTATATTACGTGGGTTAAAGTAACAATACTGATGCGACTGCAACTATAGGTTTAGATTTAGGTAAAAGTATAACAAAATTTGTTGTTGTTCATTTAGTTTTTATATATTTTCACACAGGGTAAAAAAATTAAGTAACGATATACATGTATAGACAATATTAAAATGTATACCAAAATTTATAAACAAAACCAATACAAAAATAATAAGAGCATAAATATATTTTTTGGACACAGTCATAGACTAATAGATAAATTTGTAATATATTAAATAAGTAAATCACACTGGAATACACTGTTAAAAATTGAAATGATTGATCAAACGTCTTTCCACAATATGGATTATTTGCAAAGAGCATATTACAATACAGAACATAGATATAAGTAAATAACAGTATTTTTTTCTTGTCAAACTTTTAATATTAAATAATGTAGGTAAAAAGAATTAGATATAAAAAATAACGTAGTAGGTAATCACTTTTCTTTCACGGCATGTTCTTTGACAGGCTGAAGATTGGTTGTTTCTGCGGATAAAGATCTAAAAAATAAAATATAGATATAAACTATTAATATTTGTAGAAGTGAAATTGTAAAATTATGCTAAAAATTGAATTATAATTGTAACGAATTATGAAATTGGATTCATAATTTATGATAGAGAGCCTATATACATATAAATATATAGGCTTTCTAATTCACGAGTATGAGTAATGATGAGTGATAGATTTTTAACTTCCAAATTATGCTATGTAATTTATAGATATAACTGTATATGGTTTATTTACTTAGATGCCTGTGTATAAATGAATAGCTAATTGAAATTCTGGAATAAATTGTACCCTAAGACAGCAGAAATATGCATGCCTGCATAATTACAGGGGTAGGAGTCGTCAGGGATATAAGCCGTCCATCCCTGAACTTAAACACATTTTTAAAGATATAATTGATTCAATTTTGCCTTTTTATTACGTTCAAATAAAATTGCGTGTCTCTTAAATAAAAAAAAATCATAAATACGCATCTTCTGTATTATAATTTGTACCTAACTATTGGTGTGTCTGATAGTCGTGCAGGTAAATGGTATTTAAACTGCTACACACAAAATAGGCTGTTTACCTAAAATTACTTTATTGTTATTATATATATATGTACGTTTATACACATAAAAATATTATTATTGGTAAATAAATAACCGAATCTATACCTTGACCCAAACCAAGAGCACGCTCCGGGAGCCGAATGCGAACGGTTGGATGACTGAAGTTTTCGTTTCGACTCGTCTGCTGCAAACGGATTCTGAAAATGACACGAAAATAATATTTCTTTACAATAGCCAATAGAGAAAATGTAGAATTATCTCCTAAAAAAACAACATTTTTCGACGTACACAAGTGTAAAGGAAACAGTCCAAAGTGTACGTACTATTGTACTTTCTCAACCAGCCAATTATTATTAAATAAATCTATGTTACAATGTCGTCTTTGGAAAATATTATACACATAATACTGTATTTTTAATAAATGTAATAATAATATACAAATTATTAATTAGTATACATAGTTCACTAATAAGCGAGTATAAAAATAATTATTATTCAAGGTAGCCAGGTAGGTTTATGTATTAAATATTGTTTCGGTTAGGTAGCTGTAGATATGGGTAGCAGCCGCCAGATGAAATAAAAATAACATATTTTTAAAATTGCTCTACCTAATGGGTTACACTTCTCTGATATGTTTTTGTATACATATTACGTAATTCAAACTTCAATACATCACTATATGGGCTGGAAAACCAAATTATGAACAGCCATGTGGAACAAATGGAGCTAAAGCTTTCCATAGGCACTTTAACAATGAAAGTGTGTCAAATTTGACCAGGATATTTTGACGTGTCATCAGCAGAGCGACTACCCGGTTTTTTGATTTTATATTGTTGGCAGTGATTACAGAAAATAGAATAGTTATAATGATTTGATAACATTTTTAGACCGGTTCATGATATTTGGTCAAAACGATCCAAAATTGTGTACAAAATCTTTATAGTTTACATTTAATAGAGTTTAAGAAGGAGTAAAGCATTTAATTTGATATGGACCACGGTCTGCACGCTAAGCTAGTTTTTAATATTTTGAATCTGATTGTTAACAGTTAAGGTTTTTGTTTATATATGTTATCCTAATTATTATGTTGACTCTAGTAGTACAATAATGTAGGTTACAGTAGTTACAAATTACAATAGGTGACGACCTTAAAAAATAATCATAATACAAGTTATTTTTAAAACGTTTAATTTTTTATGAGTTTTATACTAAAACTGTGCTTTAGTTTAGGTATATAAAAAATTGAAGTGGGTTTTTTTCGTAGAACCAGCACGGTCCTAACAGAGTTATTTGTTCAACTGTTTAAATAAAAATACTATTTTTCTCCGGACAAGTCGCGGTGACCGGAGAGCAAGTGCTGCCATCCCCCACCCCCGGGGCATGTCAGAAACCTACGGGTGCCCCATTCGAAATTCTGCCAAAACAAACACACACGTGTTCCCCCCTACCGTACCAAAAACATACAAACCATCAATACAAAAACCTACAGTACCTACTAATAGCTAATGGCCACAGTTGCCGGGCTCAGGATCAATTTAAAAAAAAAAAAAAAAAAAAAATATTCGTTAACTCGTTAAGCAAACATACGCCCGGTGGCTGTGGCCGCGAGTGACGAGTCCAAGAATTTTCAATGGGAAGGGGAAGTTATAAATAATAATCAGGGTTGGGATTTTATAACACTTAAAAATTGCAAAAATATGCAAAAACTGGAATTTTCAGACAAAGTTAAGCACAAGTTAACGGACGACAAAGAATAACCATAACACGTTCAACTGATAACTCAACTAGTATGTACTATATAATAGGTATGACTGTATGAGTATATAACTCGGCTGTATTTAGTATAAACCTGACGTTTTCCACATTCGTTCGATACTTCGATGATAACTTCAGATGAATCTAATTGACATAAAGGGGCCTATCAAAATCGTTAGATAACAAAAGTTTAAAATTAAAACCAAATACCTACCTAATACAAAATGATGCATCAGAGCATCTTTGTAGTCACCACAGTCATAGTAGTCAGTCTATTTTACTTAACATATATTTACTTTTAAAATAAATACTAGGCAGTAATCGAAAACAAGTTTATTTAAATGTTATTTCATAACATATGACCAATTTTGATTTAAAATGGGTTTAAATTAAATATATCTCAAAAAATCTAAAAAGAGCACTAAAGTCTATAAAATCTCAAAATGCCCCCTAGGCACGCCACTGGCTGTTGGTATTAACATCTTTTTTTACTTTGGAGATTTTTTTACAGCTCATCAATCTAATATTATTTTATTTTGTTATACTATAATAGTATAATACTATGTTAGTAAAATTGTAGGTATAAGGGCGTAACATTTTGGTATATATTATTAAATGAATATATATTTAATAGGCATATTATATTAGTTAAATCTTTAATAATAATTATTAAAAAAATAATTTTAACTCAAATTATTCTAGAAAACTGTAGGGCTGAGTATTATTTTTGAATTCCGACAATAATATTTTGGATTAAAGTGTATTGTTTCCCACAGATAAAATTTTTACTGAGACCTACCTTTAGAAAAAATATCGCATCTGACTATTTTAGAGTAAGGGTGAAATGTATTTTAAAGTTGAAAAATGTTTATTGTTTGAAAAAATGTCCAGGTTGACCTACCGAGGATCTGCCTCTGTGGCTCTGTATGTATGCATAGATCCAGCATTATCGTTCTCTGCATATCTACTACCTAATATTTGTATTTATTCTTCAAGCGCAGTTAACGAGTTGTGTCCCAACCAAATTTCTCGTACACGAGTTGTGTCCCAATGATAAAAGTGGGGTACACGAGTTGTGTCCCGATGATAAAAGTGGGGTACACGAGTTGTGTCCCGATGATAAAAGTGGGGTACACGAGTTGTGTCCCGATAACACAAGACATTTTTCCATTTCAATGTTGTATAAAATATACCAACATAATATATTTTATAAGATATTTAGGTACTGAATAAAATTCGATTCTGTCGATTATTATTATTGTAATAATATGACGTTTTTTATACTCATTTTTCGTGTTAAATATAATATATAACATACTTTTAATATTTTAATAAAAAAAATACCTACTCAATGTGAATTTTAAAAATTATTTTATTTAAGTGTTTGCCTTATATGAAATATTATTAAAATTATTTTGTGTAGTTATTTTTGCTTTTTATTTATATTAGTTAGACCAAACTTGTGTGTAATCTGAAAAAAACTGGGGGACACAATTCGTGTAACCCGAACAAAACTGAGGGACACAATTCGTGTAACCCGAACAAAACTGAGGGACACAATTCGTGTAACCCGAACAAAACTGAGGGACTCAATTCGTGTAACCCGGAAAAAACATAGGGACGCAATTCAGTATTTGGGACACAACTCGTTTACAGCCTCTTCAAGAACATAATGGGCCAGGGGCCTCACTGGACATGTTCGTGTGGGGGCCCAACCATTATACCTTGTACATATAAGCTAGGTACATGAAGTATTATAATACATATATGTGCACTCACAAGGAATGAATGGTTCTTCAGCATAGCTTTGATCAGTATTAGGGTGTTGAGCTTGGGTATGGACTTGACGACGTTCATCATTTCCTCTTCGCTGACCTCGACCGGCTCGCGGCAGTAGTTGTCACGCTCGGTGGGCAGCGCCTCGGCCCCCGCCCTTGTCACCCAGTCGTGCTTTTTGACGGCCGGCAACGTGATCCTGGTATCCGGGTCCTTGTCAAGGAGGCGGTGCAACAGGTGCACCAGTTGAGGAGACGTTTCCGGTTCGACTGGCCACTGCACCGGTTGCGTGCGGATCTGCTCGTGCACCGCCAGCACCGTGTCAGCGGTGTACGGCAGCCGACCGTAGACAAACGCGTACAACGTGCACCCCAGTGCCCACACGTCCAGCGCTCGACCGCTATACGTTTTCGTCGACGGGTCCAGCACTTCGGGAGCCGTAAACGCCGGTGTGCCCGCGCTCGAACTTAACAGGTCGTCGCTTCCGTCGAACTCGTTGCACACGCCCAAGTCGGCGATTTTCACGTGCCCGCTGGCGTCGATCAATAAGTTCGACGGTTTGATGTCCCTGTGTACGATCCGCTGAAAGTGCACTGTAAAACAGAAGCTGGATATTAAACAATATTATGACGGTGAGTGGTTTTTATTTTACAGTAAACATGCTCATTATTTCGAAAAATGTTTACATAATGTTAGGTAACTGTTAATTGTTATGGACATTTTAGGATGTAGGTATAGTCGCAGATACTTGAAATCGTAACTTTATAAAAAATGTAATTTATATAATAATTAATTAATAAATTAGCTGCAAATGCATACTGGATATAGTTAGGGACACATTTTTAAGAACAATAAATTATCGATTTATTATTACTAATTAGTACTTACAATATTCTAAGCCCAATAAAATATCCCTGAAGTATGACCTGGCTTTCGATTCGGACATTGGAGGATCACCAGGAACTTGCATCACTTCACCACGCTCCAATAATTCAAACACTAAAAGACAAAAAAAGCGGGTAAATGAATAACGCTCTGCTGTGCATGTAAGGTGTTTAGAGACTAGAGAGTCGCTGTAATAGATGTGTTAAATTTTAATTCAATGATATTAAATCATTGTATATGAAGTACAATTCTAAACGAAGACGGTCTATCAGCCAATAATATTACTAAATATGTTTGATGCTATTAGTGCGATTAAAATAATTTATGTAACTATTAAATTTTTCTATTACAGTAGGTTAAATTAATTTTTGTAGAAAAAGTTGAATTTGGAAATTGTATTGTGTATGTAAAATATATCTACTCTAAAAGTTTCAAGTACACAAGAATAATATTTTAAATAAAAATAAAAATAACCAAAATTGTTATTCTTGGTTTATTATTTCATATCGTCGATATTCTAATTACAAATGTCTGTAAAAAACAACCGTGTTAATATATTTTTGATTTTTTTTGTTACAGTATAAATTAATTATGAGAACCTTGTTTTACATTTTTATTCATTACCTAGATAAAATGTTCATGATTTTGATAAATGTTGTCAAAATATGATCTTTAAATACTTATAAAAATGATCGTGCTTATCGATCTTTAATATTTCGAACTACTTATAAAGAACCTTGTCTTTCAAAGTATTTCGACCCAACCCAACGAAACAGTTTTATTGACATTTATAGAAAAAAACTAAAATAATTGAAAATGTTTATAAAATAACTCAAGACGAGTCAAAATATTTTGAAAATGTTATCACGTATGGCAAATTATATAAAATAAACATTTGATGACAATTTCAAGTCACCTTTGCTTGATGGATTTTGAATTACAACAAAATAAGAAAATCGTTCCATGAGGATTTGTTAATTTACGGGTGAATCGAATGTTTAACTTCAAAGGCTCATACAAAATTTAATTGACTGTCTAATAAACTTTTTTTTGCATAAAATTCTAAGTTTTTCCTGACTACTTTAAAATTTAATGGGAGTGGTATTTGGCCCCTCAAAGTACCAACTAGATTAAATTGCCTTCTAGAAAAGATATTCAAATAGAAAATTGAAGCATTTTACTGCCCCAAAATGTAGTGACAGACATAAATACACAAAGAAACACACACATTCATTGTAAAATCATTACATACATCGCTCTGCTCATGATATATAACATTAGTAAAATACATAATATAGTAGAATATATTGAAATATTTACCCAAATAAAGATGATCTTCATCTGGATCCTCTAAAACTTCGACTAGTTTCACTACATTAGGATGATCAAGTTTTTTCAACAAAGCTATTTCCCTGTAGACTTTGTCTAGAGGATTGGCTCCTTTACGCCTGGCGTTTAGTCTGCCTGCAATGTAATATGGTAATGAATAACAGCGATAAAATTGTAATCATGCAAATCAAATAATATTTTTTTTTCTATAATAATTTATCTTGGCATCAAATAGGTAAATGTTTTTCTCTGACGATTTAACTGTAGTATAAAATTATAGTTCTATATATTATTATTATTTATTACATTAAATATACATATAATATTATGTATAACAACTACAGAATAATTACGTCCAAAATGTAAGATTTTTGGGTTACGAAAAAAATGACATAAATAGGTGTAAGTGTGCAATTAGCTGTGTCGTATGACTATTATATTACCTATGACTTGTGAGTATTTGATCGGCTAGTAAATAATAAATACTTTCAGTTATAACTTGCATACCCAATAGTAATTTATATTAAGTAATTATTGTATAGTGACTATAGTATAAATCGTAGTCGAAATGACTTTGTTCCTCATAAGGCCATTTTAATAACATTATAGTTCCATATTATCTACCTTCATATTTATTCAAAATACCTAATGAAATAATAACCATGGTTTTCAATATTAAGAGACTTGTTTTATTTTACATAGATTTTTGTATGTGATAAATAATATTCATTCTTTTAGAAGATGATTTTAATTTACATTGTCCTTTATCGTTGAACCTCAATTAAAAGTACAAACGTTTTTTCTGGGTGTATGAACATTTTCATTAGAACAAAACTATCGATTTTGGTCAAGAGCATAATATATACGTATAGTTTGAGTATATCTACTGAACTCTAAGGGAATACTTGAATACATATTATTGCGCTTCACTTAATAATGAACAAAATTGTACACAAAAAGGTTATCTAAACAAGACATAGTAGTTTATAATTAACGTAGTAAACTGTAAAGTCTATATTCTTAGTGTAACATAGTTCGTATAAATATACATTATTATTTAGTTTACTTACAAAGAAACATAACAGCGATGAGAATATTATAATTAGGCAAACATTTTGTAGATATAATGTGGATTTGTGTGTATAATACACAGCGTAGCAATAGCGCAATACAAAAGTTGAGCTATTTAAATTATTTTGAAATTTTGTTTGCATAATGTAAATATTACATGAAATCATTATAAATTATAATGTGGTATTTGCGTGTTTTATTATATTATAATTATTGTTTATGGTTATAGTTATAAATTATAATAAAACGAGGGGTATGAAATCATAAACATAAAATTAAATATCATCATGCTTTGATGTAATTATAACTTAATAGTTTAAAACAGTTTGAATAGAATATAGTGTTGCGCATTCGATATTTCAATCTAAACTCTGTAAAACACAATACCACATAGTATATACCTGTTCATTTTTCATTAAATATTTCATACATTTGGAAAATCGTAGTATTTTTTACTATGGCAGCATATTTATTATAATTATTAGCACAATACACAAATTCAAGATTTTATATCTTTTGGTAACAATTTATAGTTAATAGCTCCCTTACAATTAACAATATGTCAAAGCCAATGTAAAAGTTGATTATGAATACATATTATCTAATTTTTTTCTGATTATAATTTATTAATGCAAATTCAATTTTCAAATAAATTTGTCAACAACAGTAGTAAATTGTATGACCTATATATAAACAATACGGTCAAGGTGTATGATATATATTACATAAATATAATACAATTTAATGTTTTTATAATAGTATGTTGTCATATTGATACAATAGTTGAATTATTTGTACTTCCAGGTTATCACGACTATCTATCGGTACGTATAGTATATATATATATATATATATATCTTTACAAATACTATTTTGAGGATAATATATATATATGTTAATCATATACAATTCAAGTTTGGTTAAAAGTAATTACAACTTTAGGCTTGCAAATTGCCAGATCTTTGCTTAAAAAAATGTTTAAATTTTAAAAATTATCAACAAAATTATACTTGGTATATTTTTATAGCTAGTATGTAAGAGGTATATATATATAAGTATAAGTATTATATAACACGTAGGTAGGTAAGCATATTAGGTAGTGTAGACTGTAGTCACGTATTTACTATGTTTGCATAGATTCCCTAAGGATGTTACAGATGAATGGTGATGATACATTGATACTAGCCACAAAATATATGTTACAAAATTCAGTGAAGAATAAATGAGGCTGGAACAGTAAATTTTCTAACTCATTAAGTTGGATAGTAATACATTATAATAACATCAGCTAGGTATATGTTTCAAACTGCCTGAGGAAAGAGTAGGCACGACACCTTATCAACTCCAATCCATTTATTTTTTAAGTTATAGAATGAGGTATAAATAAACTCAATAAATAATGTATAAAATAAGGATTCAATAAAAAAAAATTGAAAAACTGTCCTATCTAGTATCTACTGAACTTGTAGGCGTGGGTATGTAGGTAATCGTATCATTGATCAGATCAATGTAGTCGAACTTATTAAAAGTAATTTTAAAATAAATCATAGAACAAATGCAATCATTATAATATTTATAATTATTGGTACTCAGACCTATCTTATATATTCTAATAAAACAATTCATTTTTTATTATTTTTAATGATTTTTTTGCTTACGGCACATTTGAGAAAAAAAATTGCTCCTATCTTCAATGTTGACGCTATAATTACTGGTCGTACATTTTTTCAGGTTGGTATTAGAGTCAAGTACAAATAAAATGCTATTTCTAGCACTTCTTTAATAATTATGAAAAACTAAAAAAAAAACAGTGAGGAAATTGGAACATTTATGCAACACCAATTTTCAATAAACATTCATATCAAAATTATTATACAGAATTAAAAAATCAAAATTTTAAGCAGTTTATAGACATTTAAAATGATTGATATATTTAAGTTTTGTTTTATTTTATGTTAACACACTTTTGTCCCTTAGTCAAAAGTTTGAACATTTAATAAAAGGTTCGTCATATAGGTACTCATATTCTATTACCTAGAACAATTTTTTTATAAAAATGTAAACATATCGATAGTACATAACTACATGTCTACACAAAGCACTACTTATTTAAATAAGTTTTTGAAGTTCAAATTTTGATCTGATTATTTTGTAGTTAAAAATGCATATTTAAAATTGAATAGGTACCAAGGCTAGAAAATATTTACTTATAAGGTTCTGATATAAAATACCAAAAATACCACCTATATTCAAATTGCCGTGAGAAAAACTTATTAAATAAATATTGTGCCTAAATAGGCTAGGTATAGGTCAATTTATATTATTCAATTGTTATAAGAAAGACATATTATAGGGGACCTTATATATTGTATCAATTTTGTCAAAAACTAGTGTACATACTATAAATATTCTCGTTTCACCACTGTTTTTTGTTTTTCCTAATTTACTAATTAGGTAATTAGGAACAGTACAAGGAATTTCTACTCTTGATCTAAAGTATCAACTAGAATCTAAAGATCAAATTTGGATACCAGAAATTAAAACAAATATTGAAGATTGAAGCAAATTTTCTGCAACAAAACGTGACATCAGACATAAAATAATTACACACATTATTTTAAAACCAATACACATTCCCTGTGTAGCTCCCTGTGTGCAGTAGATTAAATTGTTAGTAATAGTTTGCATAAAATACAACTAACTAAGTAATTAAAAGTAAGTTAAATCTTCCAAAATACCAAATGATACTGACTACTGAATATGAGAATGCTTGATTACATTTTTAGAGCTAAAATCAAGTGATCATAATGTACCTACTACATTCGTATAGAATAAAATTGACTATATAATTTCGAATGCTATTTTTAAAGGTGTGATACAACATTTTTTTGTGGTTACAAATTTTCGCACAACAAATAATATAATACCACAGATTAAATAATATTAAAAAAAATTTAATTTAATCCGTGATAATAGTAAACCGTTTTCAAGTCAAAATGTTGACCTTTGAATGCCTAGGGGTAACGTACCTCATTTTTAACATGGATTGTAAATAATAAACAGTCGCAAGCAATAGTTCATTACGTACAGTTAAAAAAAATGTAATATATTATGTTGGTAAAATGTTAAATTATTACAAAAGACTGCAAATATAAAACTTATATTTTTCTATTATTAGAAAATATATTATTTAAAATGTAATTACTATTTAAAAATTGTACATTTTAAAGTTACAAAATAACTTATTTTAGTTTTAAGAAAAAAACAATATTTTAAATGATAATATCCCAGGCAAATTGATAAACATAATTAATATTATTATTATGATACAATTTATGCTTAAAATAAACATTAAACATACAAAAATATCTTGGTTTATTCATAATATGTATGTATTAGGTAAATTTAACGAAAAAAAACTTACCAAAACACCCAGCTTTTTTCATTAACTTTTTCTTAGATAATATTTTCATAGCCTAAAAAAAATTATTTGAAATATATATTATTATTTCACGTTAAAATAGGTCATATATTATTATATACGTATATTCATTTTTGTAATTATTCACGGACTGAAAATTGAAATCAGTGCGAAATAAAAATAATATTATTCATAAAATGTAATAATTTAATTATTGTTATAACAGTTATTTAATTGAAATTGTTTATCAAAGACATTTACAAATAGACACAGGCGGTTTTTATAAGGGAGGATACAAGGGATACATAAGCCCAATAAGCTCATCATATATTTTTAAATTAGTCTCCTTCATCGAGGTTTCAGATGCTTTCAGTTAACCATAATTTTTTGTTTAAATGACAATGACAGACAATCAATTAAATTTTTATTAGTTTTGTCCGTGGACTTTGTCTTTCGACAATAGAGACTAAACAAAAATATATGATTAGCCTCCTACAGGCTATTATATAATGTTCGTGTAGATTGTTTGAATTAAATCTTCTACAAACTAAAGTATTAAATGCTGCACTGCTATACTATAATATGCTTACATGCTAACATAAAGAAAAATTATTGATCTACGGTCACTTATTCACTTTTATATATACAAACTTATTTGTTACTGACAAAAGGTCTCATGTAAATATGTTTAAAAATATAAACTAAAACATTTGATTATGTTTTATAATAATGCAAAATGTCCAAATCTTCAAAGTTGCATATAATAAAGATCGCTTTAACCAGTTCTCAAATTGAGAGTTATTAAGTAGGGGAGCTCAATCAAACAATTAAAAAAATTGTCTTTATTTATTATTTAACATACTCGTCCTCTACCCCTATTTTTAAATTTGAATACTACTTTTCAGCTTAGATATAGCATTTTAAGAATTCGGATTTATGTTTTGTATTCATCTTAGCTTTCAAAAATTTTCCCAATATTATATTTCATACATTCAGTCACTTAAAAATGTCGTTTTTTTTATATTATTATTATTCCTATTTTTTTAGCAGTTATACCTAAATGTTTCATTGGGTAGGATATAAAACAATTAGAATTAACAGTGATAATATTTTAGTTCTAGATCTATTTTAACTGCCAATACTAGTCCACAGATATTGGATAAAACAATAGTTCATTGTATATATCTGTGCAGTGTTCACTACTAAACTAGTCAACGAACCAGCGTGTTATAATATAAACAAATTATAATAATAAAAAAAAAGGAATTAGGTGGTCTAATAAATCATAGAAAAGATAGGAAAATGATTTTAATATTAAAAATGTAAAATTCACTGGATAGGTAATCATTGACAACAATTTAAATCCACTCCACATTTTATTAAATATTATTTCGGGCATTAGTTTGTTCAATCCCCCCCCCCCCCGTCTAAGTAAAAAAAATAGTTGGGATAGGCAAAAAAAAATTAGTAGAGAAGCTTCGTCTGCCTGCTCACCTCCTCCCCCCAATTCGATCACTGACTTAAACGTTATATTAAACGTACTTACAACTGATATGCACTCGTATTTCTTAGCATTTAAAGGAATTTAATTATAAAATGAAAATAATTTACTTAAAACATTATTGCTTAAATTCTCAAAAGAACCTCTTGAAAGTTTTAAATTTAAACATGAGTTAGAATCAGCAAGACTACTATTTTCAAGTTTTAAACATAAGTTTAAAAAAAGTAATTCTACGAATTGAAAACATAATGTCATTTATAAACATTGTTCATACAATAATAATAATTTTATTTGTCAAGCCTCAAGCTTAATAAAATAATTTATACAAATCAAATAACCGGTCAACCTAGATTGATTAGTTGTGGTACATATTATTTAATATGGTTAATGGACAAAATTACAAAAACGATTTACTGTGGAGGGTTTCGTTTAATTAACTTGCTCTCAATTGTTTACGTTCGTATTAATTCCATCTGGATGCTTTTGAAACCGATTAGAGTAAATTATAATGTCATCCAATAAATAACGATCGTGAGCTTACTGAAGGCTCGTAGGTTCATACACTAAAAAAGGCATAAATAGCATGCATTCATGCACATTTGCAAAATATACATTCAAATATTCACTAACAATTCAGAAATATGCATTTACATGCACTTATATATTTAAATTATGCATACAAAACACTATTAAGAAAACAGACAAATTTTGAAATAAAAAAATAGGTTTATCTATTTTTCATCCGAATTTAATTTCTTTTGATTTTTATATATTTTATAAAACTCAAAAATCTAATTTTATAGATCAGCACTTTGTTGACATTATTACGTTATTATTATGTTATTATTATTATTGAATCTGTGGTATATTATACAACCTGTGGTCGTATGAGCAAAAAAAAAAATAGAAACAAATACGTACTACAATTTTATAAATTGGCAAGTAAATAAGAAACAAAAAAAATTCAAATATTTATTTGTTTAAACATATTTTTTTAATAATTCTAAAAAATTGTCTATATTCCTAATATGCCTTTACATCCAAAATATGCAAGAACATGTACTATTAAACTTTATATATTTATTACTATTGTTATGAAAAAAATGTCCATCAAAACATGCAAATGCTTGAACTTACGAGCCCCGATCGTGAGTCATGAGTAAAGTAATTCCTTTACCCAATTTAAATAAAAATAAAAAATGTTTACATTATTAGCCGATAAGATATCTGATACTTTTCATCATATATTTATCTAATGACCTAATAATTTTTTGTGAAAATTATACATTTAAATAATATTCTATGAATTATTAATACTCACGTAATGTTTGTCATCTAGTTCGTTATACGCCAATTTTACAAGTCCATAAGATCCCTAAATAGATAATAAAGTAATTAATAATTATAGTCAATATATTATGTATAATTCGTATGTTTACATAAGTAATAAAATGGTTTTATTTAATAATACAATCATAAGTTGTACTTATTAAATAATGTATAAAACAAAAATATTTTGAATTCAAGTTTTAAATGTACCAAACAGAATATTAATAATGAATATTTGGTGTTTTGTGTATTGCCTGTAAAAACAATTTTGACTTTCAAAGAACACGTAACGTCACGAACTCGACTTTTAAAGGCCATTTATAGAAGACATGCAAGAACAACATTGTTATTTTACCTAGTTTAAATCGATCAAAGAAATGTTATTTACCTTTTTTTCGTTCAAACGGTGTATTGTACAGAATTTATTTTTTACTTTATTCATTTTAATAAAAATATAATTGCTTGTACAATGTGCATACGAGAGTGTTGACTATAGGGTGATATATTTTTTTACAATATGTCATGTTAACCGGATATCTGGTTATCAGATTACGATATAGTACCTAAGTAGTAAACAGTTATTCATTCGTATGATTTATTCGATCCACGACTTTTTTTTTTAAATTTCATAAAATGCAAAAAAAATATATAGTAACAAATCAAGAAAATTACCTAAAAGTTTGTAAAAAGTTGAAAGAAGGAGGTACTATTAAAAACCAATTACTCAATATCAATTTAGTAAATTCAGTTATGATACGTAATATTATGTTAAATTAATATAAGTATTATAGTTTTTGAAAATGTTATACAATTTTATGATACCTATTTAAATGTGTATTAACTGTACTACGCGAGGAATCATATTTTTTAAATAAACAATAATTATCAAGTCGTGACGGTTAAAAATTCTAACGGGAAAACACTTCTCCTTTAGTTCATGGCAACATATAATGAATAATTCACAAAAATATCAATTTCATAATCAAAAATGTATAGCCGCGCATACTGTTTGTTGTCGCTACAAAACAAAAGAGAAAACGTAGATGATTATTTTCAAACTGCTATTATTTTAGATTGTATTATTTTATTACACGTGTAAAATGTTTAGTAGAAATGAATGAACAAATGAATCTTCTATATATTTTATTCGATAGGTAATAATTATTAATAATAATATGGGATTGGTATGTATTAATTATGAATTATAAATCCTGATTGTAACTGCTTGCTTAATGATTAATTAATTTGTGAATTCGTAAAAAAAAAGAATTGACAAGATATTTTAGGAACAGTTAAAATAAATATGTTTTATTAAATTTTAATTAGTGTAAAAGAATTATCACATTTCTAAAATGATTCAAAGTAAATTATACCAGTTACACCAAAATATTCATAACTTTTTTCAGCTATATTTTTTTAAATTTAATGATTAACGATTAGAATATAATTTGTTAAATGCTATTATTTATTTTATTCTTCGAGTTAATGTATTCCACGTGTTAGTATTGCCCACGAGATAATATATTCAACTAGATAGTGTATTCCAAAAGATAGTATATTGCACGAGACTAAAAATAACACGAGGTAATATATTCCACTAGATAGTATATTCCATGACTACGAGTTAGTATATTCTACGACTACGAGTTAGTATATTCTTCGGGGTAGTATATTCTACGAGACTAAAAAGAACACGAGATAATAATATATTCTACTGGACTAACAAATGTCTCCGTTCTCCGGCAATACAAATGGTCGATATGGGTATACAATTGTTACCTGTCCGATTGAATCGATCAGTTTGTACTGGTTGAGCTTTTGATGAGCATTCGGATCGTCCAAGCTCTGCACGTTGACGGACACGCGGCACTCGCGCAACGGCGGCCGACGTCTGGCGAACCGCGGCGAACACGCGGGCGAGTAGGGCAAGTTCGGACATATCGGTCGCGGTGAAGACGTCGCCGCCGTCCCCGTCGCAGATTCAGTCTTGTTGCAAGTTGACCCTTGCGAATCTCGCGGGCTGTCAGCAGCCGCAGCTGTGGCCGCCGCCGATTGCTGCGGATCGCTCGGGTGATGATCGTTTGCGGTTACCGTCGAGGCGCATTGCTGCTGCTGAGTATCGCCGGCCACAGCAGCGGAGGCGGCGGTGGTCGTCGGTCTCTCTGGCGATGCTGACGGATTCGCGTCCACTGACACTGCCGCATGTCTACTGCAAAACAAAGATATAAAAAACATTGAGACGATATCGTTGTTGTCATTACTTATTGTTGTTCTGAACTCAGTCTCGTTTACTATATGGCTACACGAGTTGAGTGCATTGGAGAATTCTGTTTCAACAGCAAACACTAACTATCTCGTTAAGTATTATTGTTTTTGAAAATATTAAATTTCATAATTGAAATTTTTAGAAAAACATTTGATTTATTATCGGTCAAAATTGGAAAATATTTACCCTGTATTTTTTGTACTCAAAATTTACTTTTTTTTTATTATAACAGGACACTTTTGTATGGTATTTTGGTATGTAAGAATTATCTCCATCCCAAGACCACGAAATTGGGAGTGAAATTCAGAATTCCAATATGAATTGATATGCAGCACAAAATATAATTCTCCGTTGTACCAAATTTGTAAAAATCGTTCTATACATAATTCTAGGATAGAATTGTACAGCCGACCACTTGGTAAAAATACAATAACAGTTTTTCAATATTGAAGATAAATATTAAATCTATCGTTGAGAGGCACCCGAAGGCTGAAGAAACGTGAATTTGATCAGAAAGATAGTTTTCATAATAAACAATATGTGATCGACCTTGAATAAGTGGTTTAACAAACCCCTAAGCTTTAAGTTGATTGATTAATTCTATCTAAAGTTTTTTCATATTATTAACCCTTTCACTGTCATTGACGCATATGTGCGTCAATGAAAAACTACATTGACGCATATTATATGCGTTTATTCGTTTATATTTGAATCAGTTAATCTGCCAAAAAAAAAAAAAATAACATCTAAATTGTAGTTTTTCTAAAGACTGTTTAAACTGCGCAAAATAATTCATAGTTTTATTATTACCAAAGAAGTTATATGCATTTCAATATTTTATAGTGTCACAGGTTACCCAAAATGTTGGTATCAGACATCAGTTGTTAATTTTTTCAATTTATAATTTATTTTTTTTATTACTCGGCTAATGATAAATGTTGAGTAACCCTGGCTGTCTAATTAAAAAATGCTTAGAACTAATTGGTTAATTAACAAATTAATTTTTTTTTCGCTAACTTATATGCATTTAGGGAATTCATTTAATAGAATAAAAAAAAAATATGAAAAAAAAATATGAAAAAAAAATATAAAAAACCTTGGCCTAGCAGTGCAATTTAATTTAAAAATGCTTGGCAGTGATAAATCATAAGCTTCTGATTGCATTTTAAAGTTGAGTGACTTTAAAATTGAGTGTTTAAATATACATAAGCCTGTTACTGTTGATCGATTTTGCATAAGACATTAAGTCACAAAGCCAGGTTGATTACGTAAATAAATAAGCCAATATATAGGTGCAACTAGGGGAATTTTTCTGGGGTGGCTATAGAATTGTATAAACGACACAGACCCTAATAATTTATATTTTGAATTAAATATGATTAAAAAACTGGGGTTGCTAAGCCCTTCCTAATTATGCCTATGGACCTACGACTATATACGCATCTGCATAAACGAATATCTAACTATTTATTTAATTATGTATGTGCTGAATAGTATTAGTTAATGAGAAAAAAATTAATTTAAATATTAGACGAAGATCTACAGATCACAGAATAAGTACAAGCAGACGAAAATTAAAGAATAAAATTAGTATTTGGTTGTCTTACATATATTGATCACAAAAGAAGACTAGTTTGATATCTAAGAATAATCTCAACGTAAGACTAAAACACAAAAGTCTGCAAGATTCAGAAAGGGGACAATGGGTGCTAATTGGAACTGTAGTGTAAGTATCTCCCGTAGGCTTTGGAGTATAAAAACTAATCTTGTCTCTAATAGAGTAATACAGTTGAATGAAAATATCCTTAATATTGTCTTTCTATTTTAACTTTATAAACTGCAAGGCTATGATAATCTTTTTATCATTATCGTCGATAAAAAACTGCTATGTCACACGCAAGAACAAACAGTTATGATTTTATGAATGCGTGTCCATTTCTTTATTATCTATAGTTATATACTTTAATACTTATATATATACTTTTTTTTCTATAGATATTGAGAGTGTACAATTAGAAAAAGGGCACATTTAAAATTTTTAAATTAGCACGGTTCAAGGAACATGTGAAGCAACTTGCTTTAGAGTATTAAATCGTATTGTTGTGCATATCATAATACATTAATATCGAACGGAATTGCTTGCAATTTGTATACACATGTTCAATAAATAATAATATGTTACTTACATGTAGGTGCTTATAAGCTAATCGTAAATATTAAATTATAATAAGTATTGATTAATATTTGTACTTAATATCTTTAATAATACAACATGTTAAAACGTTTTTAGTAACTCGTAAAAATATAAATCTGTACCCAACAGTATTGTAGAATTTAGAATTTAGAGTAATTTATATAACATAATTATCTTTTAATCATATTAGTTTATTTTTATAGTTTTTTAAAATTATTTTTAAGTAAGATGTAATCAAGTATGAAGGAATATGAACAAGGAAACATTAATATGATAATTAATGTGAATTGAATATTTATTTAAAAAATATATAATCATTATTCACTATAGAATCGGATAGCACATATTTCTCACCAGTTGTATTTGAAGAGTTATTACTTATAGAGTAAACCTACAGGACTTGGCGTATACAGGAGCCAGTGGGTACTAATCTATGTATATATCTGTACGTTTATAATATTACTTTATTTAATATGAATAAAATTACATAATATATTACACAATATAATATTCTTTCATGTCCAATATCTTATTATGCTGTAAACATGGGTGGATATCGAATTAGTTTAGTGAACCATCAATCCATCATAGTTTATAACATGTATATGTAATGTAGGTACATGCATTTAACAAAAGATATTTAGAGTGATAATAAAAATAGTATACTGTATGACATATGTATTTAAATAAAATAATCGAATACTTCTGTATTAGGTCTCTAGGTACCTAATTGTGTATTAAATATGATTTAATTCAGTGATTCAATTTAAAATTTCTTTTGCGGTTTTATCACATACAGGTTAAATGAAATCTATCATCAAGTACCTATATGTTTCATTACTTAAGTTAGTTATTAAATAAATAATACACAATAATGAATACCTAGTAAAAATAATATCAAATATTATAATATAATTCAAAATATTTAAATACAAGTGTAATGTGTATTACGTTATACTCAAATTTAAATATTTTATTTTATTAATGTGGGCATTAAACTAAATTAATGAAATAATTTTAATTTTGAATAATATGAATGACATATGTTATAGGTATACAAATAAGAACTAAATTCAATTATATAGGTACTATAATACATATTATATTATACATACAATACGAATTTATCTATACGGTATTTTTAAGAACTCGAAATCAAATATAGACCTGGAAAGTTATAATTCAGATCATAAAGAAGATTTATTTATTGATCCATATATAATTACAGTATAATGTTAAGCCATTACTTAATCCATCTACGTAAATTTTTGATTTTCCCGAATATAACCCTTTTCAAAGGTATGGTAACGCATATAACAGTATACTATATATAGGTACAATATAGCCTATACGGCACGCGAGTCACGTTCAATTTCTGCCTCATATAATGATATAATATAATATCATGTTTATTGTCATTTTGTAAGTAATTTAATGACTATAAGTCGTTTTATAATTTTGAGTATTTAGGTAGGTTACCCAAGTACATTACTTTTAATACACGTTTCCACTTCTCTATTCCAATTGCTATAAATATAATAATTTATTGTAGTTTGTAACTGACGTTAGTTTTATCGAACGAACGCATCTCTAATGACTATAGAATAATATATAAAATGTACACGACAATGGGTTTCACTTACGTTATTTGGGCGCTGATGAGGCGTGACGCTATAATGCCCGTTTTGATAGTTGGAAGCCAAATGCACATGTGCGATAGTCACATACTAATGTAAGAATGTGCATGCGATTGTTTGATTATCAAAACACTTTTAAACAATTGTCCATCAATGTCGATGAAGTTCATACAATTTTTTGATTTCTACAAGCGATTTCTTACGGAACCGCTTAGTAGTAGATAGATATACTATGTGGTATAATGATGGTACAGTCGATATCAATTAAAATAAATCAAGCCACATTGACGAGTCGATCGAGATCAAGTGGTAATCATAAAAAACATACGAATAAACAACGTAGTATTACATATAAATTGATTTCAGAATCGGACAGAAAAAATTCAGACGTTATATCATCGTAGGGTCTGGCACAACGTTACGTTTCAGACAACGAAACGGTACTGTGCTGTGTGCGCTGCCTTAACGATGAGCTGTATAGTATAGTCACTACCCTTATGAGCTTTTATGCGCATGTCAGTATAACAATAATAATATGATGTAGATACACGGGGTGGTGAGAAGCGATAGTGTACTCCGGGTGAGCCGCGTAGAAGAAAGGGAGAACTGACACACACATTTTTATAAATAAAATAAAACAGGGAACTCTTTAAGTCGCTTTATGGTATGTTTCGAGTGTATCTCGCCATTAAGTATAGGTAGATAACTCTGTGAACTGTAATGGATGTGTTAAATTTGAATTCGATGATAATTCATTACACATGAAAAACGATTCTGGGGATCAACATCAATTTTAAGAAAATCGCATATATTCAATTATATGTACATTATTATGAGTATTTTAATTAATACAGTCAACTTGTAGCATAGCAAAACTCAATGTAACGAATTAAAATGTCGTTCCCTCTAGTTAATTCAGTAGATTGGACCAGTTTTAACCGAAAACATCGAGTAGGTAGATATATAAGCCAACTATTATTTATTCATCGAATGGCGCAAATCATTTCAACATTAACAACTAGTAATCAATAATAATGTACTCATGTACCGTATAATGGTGTGAATCGGTTCATGAAATAAACAGCTGCAAATTAGCCTAAATATTTTTAAAATTGCGTTGTCTATAGAAAATAATGATAACCGCAATGAAAAAGTTTTAAGTTTACAATTAATATTTTTTGAATTACAATAATATAACTGAAATATACATAAAAGAAAATAATTTTATCGTTTACAAATGAAATTTCCAATTTTGACAAAACTTGCACTTCGCCGAAAGCTCATTAAAACAAAAATATGGCCATATATTTTCGATATTTTTATGCTATAAGAATTTTGAGCAATATTAAATTTAATGTTGAAGCTTTTTGGTTTAGAAATAATTTATTTATTCAAATACTGGTTGGTAAACATTTTCGTTTTCACGTTACTGTTTGTTAGTTTTCCTAATTATTATAAAATAGTATTCAACAATTTTAAATTTACTTCTGAAAATTTATCTTTTTGTTGAAAATTAAAGCAAATACTATTGAGAATTCCTAAAAATTGCCTCTCCAAAGTACCAAGCTTAAGTGATTTTTTTTATTAAAAACTGGTACCTATAGAGTATAGATACTTTTTTTGGACCAGTATATTCACTCAAAAATATGTTTAAAAAAAGAAAAGAAATTAAATACCATTGTAAAACCAACAAATCTCTTCTTTCAGAATTTAAAAAAATAATTTAATGTAAATGATAATTCTATGTAAATTCAATTTAGATGTTAATGAAATAAATGGTATTTTTTATTTTTATTTTTGGGAGCTTCGGCTTCGTAATCCTCCTACTCCTTGATACCCACCTCTGCACTTAATATAAAAGTATAATATTAGTATTATATATCGTATTAGTATAATTTGTGGGACAATCTCCCCCCCCTATCACCGTAGGTTACGTCAATATTTTGCATTCTACTAATTATGATGTATTTTAGAAAACGTCATATCACTCTTATTTTTAAATTTTAATAATTTGCACAAGTACTCGGCCACTCATATAACTCACCAAAAAAGAAAATCCACCGTTCAAACTTCAAACACAGACAAATAGATGATGATTAATGTTCTTACTTTTGAGTTAAATAATAAATAAATTAACAACATTAAAGTCAACACGGCTGTGTAAGCTTAACAAATATTGACTAGGTACGTTATGTGTTGTACGTTCGTAAGACAAATATCAGATGCGAGTGGTCCTCTCATTTTAAATTTTAAACCAAGACTCAAAATATTGACTTACTTTTAAATCAGCTACTGAAACTAATAAATTATAACACATGCATTATATTACAGTACTTTTACGTAAATACATATTATTAATATTATATATTAGATCGAAAGACTTTCAGATTCAAGGTCGATATTTTTGTTTAAGACACTAAATAGTTACTTATACGACATACATAATCAATGATTTTTTTTTACTATAATATTATATATATATATATAGTCATATAGAAATGCAAAAAAAAAAACTATACGTCCAGAAATATTAAGATTGTCTTTGCATAATAACTTTCTCGTAAACACGTTTTAGTAAAGTGCTAATAATACACGTATTACTGGTTTTGATGAATTAAACTTGTCAATATATTAAAATGTATTATACAAAGTACTATCACCCGTCCACCCAACGATCACAACAATTTCTACTTAAAATAAAACCAACATAATAATATTACATAAAGACGCCGCCATGCATACACGATACACGCAGACGCAGTGATGTGCTACGAAAAAAAAGTCAAATGACATTGAGGCACATACTATAAGTCTATGTAGTATAGAAGACATTAAGACGTTTACGATGTTTAATAGTGTGTAACTGTGTAAGTACCTACCTGATTGCATCTGTGGAGGCGGTAATGCTACTCGTTAACCTACAGCTAGCAACCACATCTACTGTAGATGTTTTCCAACCCGTTATCGAAGTAGCTGTAACATACAAAAAAAAAGAGCTTTTTGAAAACGTATTGGTACATATTGCATAGTAATTATGAGCATAGAAATTAATTTTCAAGCTATAATGTGAAATACGTTAAAGCTTAAAAGTACAATTAATATAATATTTATTAGTTATTACTCTTGTGTTAGTTTTATTAAATTAGCACATTGTAAATACATTGTAACTGTAATTGTATAACAATACATTGAAAACATCGTAAAATAATTATACCCTAATTAATACAAAAAAACGTGGAGGTTAAGTATGGTGATATTGGTATATCTCTAATAGAAAAACGTTCGTTTTTTATCCACATAAATATCATATTTAACCATTTAACCACAATACAATAATAATAATAATAACATTATTAGTAAACACACAATGTTTACACAACTTTTGCGATGGGTAGCCGCCGGCCAGTGGTATATACTATATAAATATATAATATTATGTATATAATATATTATGATATTCCCAATACCCTAATATGGCCGTGTTAATATTTAAATGTGTTTATTAAACGTTTGAGTTAAATGATTAGCATTATGCAAATAACAGTGCATATATAGGAGGCTAGAGACGTCCGGATGATTGACGCCCAGAACGCCACCATACAATATATGCGTATGTAGTATATTATATCGCATAAACGCATTATCATAATAGATAATTTGCGTCAATGGTGTATTTATTATAATTAATACAATAAATTAACAACACACGAAAACGATTGTGTCCACGCTGGTCTATTCCAAAATAATAATAATAAATTATATTATAAATTATAATATATGGAGTCCCACCGCGCCGCCAACGGCCCGTTGTATTTTGTATACCTATATGGCCCGTTGTATTTTTTTTATACCTATATGGTCGTATTTGTATGTAATATAATATGTGTATGTATGCATGTATACGTATGCGCACGTCACGCACGTCGCGTCGGGGCGCTTGGGGCAAGGTGTTTTTAGGCTAAGTACGCGGGCACAGGCGGTATATAATATATTAAACAGTGTAATTTTATCATAACAAAAAATACACAGCCACTTAAAATAATTATTACTTCTTACATTAGTCGTCATCAGCATCACCCCCAGCGAAAAAATGTAAACCACAAGCCTTCATATTATATTATATTCTGATTTATGTAATAGGTAGTAGGCACCTATATAGGTATATATAAATATATTGTAATAATTAATAATTATACGTAAACCTTCTATAACGGACTATTGTTGGATATTATGTTTTAATGTGTACAACCGTTTCTACACAAATAATGATTATTATGTTTTTGTACATAAAATATATAATGACTAAAAATAATAATAATAATATTTCGATGTAGGTTAACAGAGGACCAACAATAGTGACCCTGCACGCATGAATTCGCAACTATTATTATTGAGGTGGAATAGATAATTTTATTTTGAATTCGTACCAAAGTCCTAAAAAAATACCATAAATATATAATAATGACCGTAACGAATATAACATATATAATACATATTATATTGCTTCAATTACAATGCACGCGTCATGCTATCTTAGTTTTTTTGTCACGTTATTATCAATAAAATAAACAATGATAAACAATATTATTTTAAGGTTATTTAGTATAAAAGTATGTATATATTGCATGTAATAAGTTGTAAATCATGGCTAATGAAAAAGTATTATTAATTCGATAATGATTCTTCTCATATGGCGTTAAATAGTTTAAAAATGTGTGTACATTTACGAGCTTGTCTTTTAATTTGTTTAAACATATTTTCTCTTTATAGATATTTTGAACAAGATCTTAAACGTAGTATTAAAGATAAGGTATGATGTAGAGTCTATTCAATAGAAGCAGATGGAAATTGAACAGACTTTAACAGATAAAATATGCATCAAGTACCTAAGATCATGCTCAATAGTTTTTGGTGAGTGTTTTCTTAAAATATATTATTATGAAATTTTTTCTTAGTTTAACTATAACTAATATTTCATTAAAGAAGTTAACAAACCACATTTTTTATTACAGAAACGATGAGGAAAATTAAAAACTGCAAAAGTTCAACAAATGCAGCTATTGAAGACCAAATTCGAATATATATAGCTAGTGCTGGATTTAGAGAATCTTCTAAAAATATAGATTAACTAAAAATTCAAATTATTCTATTAAATCAAACTTTTAAAAAATGAATAAAGTTAAGTCATTAAGTTAAAAGAAAAAATGAAGTACATATTTGTATATTGTAATAACACTAATAACTAATAATATTACTAAAGTATGTTTTTATCATTATTTGTGTTGAATTATTTCAGAAAGTTCAAGTACTAATTCAGAGAACGAAAGTAATATCATTTAGTTCTTTAAGCAGAACCAAATACTAGGCATATTGTTAAAAGATAATAACAAAAATAATAATAATAAAAATAAATACTCAGAAAACTATAGATATCAATATACGAGTATAGTATGAGTTATGAGTTTAAGACTATATCAAATATCAATCATTATTACATCACTGTTATTTTAAGTTATAATTATCACTAATATTATACAAACAATCAATCCAATTAAAAATTGTAAGTATATTATAAATAACTGTGCTTAAGTTTGTTATTTAAGAAGAACTTCCATAACTTGTTAATAGGACATCGCGACATCCTTAACATACTAGCGTAGATATAAATTAACATGTTCCCGAATAGTTTTAGCTAAAACGCCTATTAAACAAATAAAAAAAAAACATTATTTTGGAGAGCATCTCATCGGGATCTTATAAAATAATTAGTATGAAAAAAGGTACAGTATTTTAAAGAATCAAAAATAACTAACCTAACACTAAATTAAGGTAATGAATATGTTGGTATATAAATATTATAATTTATAATATGTAACGCTAATGGCCTAATTTTCGAAGTTAAACCGTCATATAAGTATTATGAACATCAAATATTGAGTTAGGTTAGGTTAGGTACCTGCCTAATCTTTACTTTAGTTTTGGCTTTTCGATTTTGTTATATTGACCAAATTGTTAGCTGCTAATACCTGCTATGTATCCGTTTATCAGTTAATTAATATCAGTTATCAATGATTATTATTGTTACTATAATTATGACACGACAACGTAGTTAGTATAAAAATCTAAGACCGTGTAGTTACCCAAAGTTTATAGATAATATTATTTATCTGTAAACCTTGATAGTTACCCATCGGTAAATTGTATGTTATGTACCTGTTTATATGTGAATATGACGTGATAGGTGTATTTATCTAAGCCCAACATTATTTATGTATCTGTTGTATGATCATTTAAATAAAATAATATTGTACCTATGATAATTTAATATTATCTATCACCAATTAGAAATAACGTAATAAACATTTAATTGTTTTAATTAAGATCACGGGTGACGGGTAAGTTGTTAGTAGGGGAACTAATAAGTTATTAATAACTATTAAACATTTACAACTACTCTTAGTATTTAAAATTCTATTAACTAAGTACTTAATAATTTTATATAAATTATATATATAAATGGAAGTATGGTATTATAATTTATAGTTACACTTTCATATTGTTTGTTTCATTTTTGCAGACTAAAGGTTTTGCAACTTAAGTTTTGAGAAAGTTTTATTTTACTTATACCCATTACCTTACGGTATGCTGCTCCATTAGAATAATATTAAAAATTTTCAATTCAAAATAATCACAGGCATACAACTGGAACAGTTGTCTAGTATAGTTATACAGCTATATAACTAATAGTTCCACGTACAGCAAAATATTTTGGTTGTAAGCTGTATAAAATGCTGACATTCTGAATTCGAATGAATCTATTTACTCATTAATTTGCTTTTGTAAATAAATCTGATCGGCCTAATTAGAATTGAAACCCGAAGGATTAATTATTATTATTATCTGCATCATGTATGTACGTAGGTGTGTACCAACATTGAAAAATGAAAAAATAATTGAGTTGTAACGTTTTAAAATATCTCGTATTTACATTTTTCAATTCTTCGGTTTATGAATTATGATTAAATATATTAACACAATTCGTGCAATTTATCAATTCTGAGGCCTGACATAAGTGACATACCTACTGACATCCAAGTCAATGACTGAAAACGAGTTTATGCGTAGGTAGATTTCAATTTTATACCTATGTAGATTCGCAAAACATACGCACAGATCTTGACATTTAAAAAAAATTTGTTACTTGAGATCATAATATTTTAAAAATTAATTAATAAAGTGATTTAGTCAAGTTTTATAATATGAGTTTTTAAATTGGATATGATATTTGATAAACGATAAGGTTATATTTTATTATATTTAGTAATTTAGGCATCTTTTGTACCTACCAACCATGTTATGTGTGTTACGCGCGTTGTATTTACCTTGTATCATATATATGCACTGCTATACACAATGTTATATTATAATTTATGATTGATGAAAAAACAATAATTTACTGTCGGAGGCTGGAGCTGAACGATAATATATTGCGGCCGAGATTGGATCCTCCCTGTGGGTATACATGTAATGCAGCCAATACAGGCAACTCATCAATAGCTATAGTCTGCATGGTGCGCTAAGTATAATATAGGTAGGTACTATTTACGTTCGTATATTATAGGTACTGCATTGTAGAGAAAATTGATTTTATAATATACATCACACTATAAGTCGTTTCCCGAGCCAAACACTCGCGTATATAGTCCCCCATAATAATATAGTATGCTATATATACTTACTAATGTGCATTAGTAAGTGAATATATGTCCATAGATATTATATAGTAGATTGTAGATACCTATATAATATTATTTATGTGTACATTATAATAGAATATTTTGCTAAATAGAGGATGCTTGATTCATGTTTGTTAACATTATATGGTTACGTAGATATAAATGCACGCGAGCACGGTAAAAACTATTTGTGTTATAAAAATTAATTTTACAAATATTCTTACCCTAACCTACCATTATACTTATACTCGTATGTAAAAATAATTGTTTCCGTTGCAAAAACTACATTAAGTGGGTCGCGGTGATCTCGCAAAGAACTGTTAACATCAATATACATAAAAGTGTTACGCGTATTAACATTATTATATATAATATATTGTATCGTGTGCGCTTTGCACAACGATATTATGTAAATAATAATATATTATTATATATTTTACTCTACCACGTTCAGTTACTCGCAAAATATGGATAAACGTTTATTATTGCGTCGTCACCGACAAAAATATTTGAAAAAAAAAAATGTTTTTTGTTGTTGTAATATACGCATATTATAATCATACCTTGTACAGTAGTCATAGAGTCGCGTTGCATGCAAGCCAGTGCCGTTGTCGAAATGTATGTAATAATAATGATGTTTCAGGTTTGTTTAGTCCGTCACTGCAACAAAAAAAATTATCAGTTAGCTTAAAAAAAATAATTACATGATATTGTAATAAAAAAAAAAATCACAACATATTATATAATACATTTCACACGAAACAATACATTATTATTTTATTTTGTGGAAGATTACACCGTGAGTAGGTATGTTCTCCGAGATTGCAAGCAGATGTAACAATAACAAGAGTACATCAAAACGACGGTGTCATCGGATAAATCGGACTTTGATCAAATATTATATACATTTCAATAAGACGTGCGAATTTATATTGTATACACACGCATACAAATAGGCAATAATTATGTAATCTAACCCGGTTGTTTTTGTTGTTGTTTTAAAATGAATATCTACCATAGTATACCATATAGTATTACAATTTATAATTATGAGTGTAGGTAGTAGGTACTTATATAGGTACACATGAACGCCCCGAATATGACGGGCCACTGGTCAAAAATTGGGTTAAATCGTGTATATCTCATTATACAGAGTGATTCGTCAAGCACTCCCCGTGTTTCCCTTTATATATAAATAAATTTAAATTCTGTTTTTGGAATAAGTGAGCACACTTAAGCTATGAAGACCATGTAAATTATAATTTTAAATACTTAGATTTTTGTTTCTGTCTTCTAAATGTATCATAATGGCATTATTTAATAATGAACTTATTAGGTATCCTAGGTTAACAAAGTTAAATAACTAAAAAACTTTAACTGTTCGAATAGATTTTAGGTACTAACATACCAAAATAGTCATCCAATAATCAATTAACATAAAAAGGATGATTCTCATTTAAAAAAAAAAAGTTGGTACACTCTTGTTAAAAAATGCACATGTTTGAAATATGTCCTTAAGTTAATATATAAATTCCAAATATTACAATTAATTAATTATTAATAGAAAAAATATTGTTTAGCATAGTAAGTGAATCGCCCTGTATAATATTTATTATATATATGAAAATTATGCATTCTCACATATTTTATAAAATGTATAATAAATGATTCAATAATTTTATAATATATAGGTAGATATTGATATATCTAATACCCAATATAAATACAGAATAACATACAACGGCTGTTCTCTATTATATGACATTATAATAAATAGGTGATAGGTGCCTAACCTTGTTTACTAGATTTTACGTACCAATGACAACTTATTGTTGTGTAATAAGAAATAACTAATTTATTCTAACTATAAGTAAATTTATTTCGATGATCAAAATAAAATCTTTCATCATGACATGCACAGAATGAATAATTAAATTAAAAATTATTAAAATATGTAGGTACCTATATCTATGTTCAACACTTCAATGTTAATTTATATTGTATCAAATTTTGAATAGTAATTTCAACATAATTATATAGGTAGTTTTCAAAGTTTCAACTTAATATAAATATTTGAATTAAAAAGATAAAATTTACCTAGTATAAATATACTAGTTAGATACCTAGCTCACAAAAAGTTGACACGTTATGCATTTTCATTTACTTATGTGTGTTTTTAATAAACAAATTATATAAATAAATTAACTATTGAAAATATGTTCGGATTAAAAAATGTTCAATGTACAAGTATAAAGTAACATAGGTACAAATTTAGTTTTATTTTTAATATTTTAGCGCACATATTTTTTCAATACATCGATTTTAGTTTTAAAATTTGAATTATTGTTGTTTACATTATTCAAAGTATACAATAAAAATATTTTTTTTATTATAGCTAAGGAAAAGTCTCATAAATATATCATTATTAATTATTATGATTAATACCTATACTCACTTTATA